CAAATGGAACCAGCATGCCTACCTTCCCAAGTGCTATATTTAAGGTGCACCAAGCACACAATTTTTTTTATAGCCATATTTCACTCTCTAATGATTAATTTGCCAGATTGCTATTGAAAACACATCTGTAAGAGGATCTTTAAAAACTAGATGAGTAAAGACAAACTTGTGTCTTACCCTCTGCATGAGGCAACATGAGATAGTGAGCAAGGACTGAGTACGGAGAACAGAAAAAACGCCATTTAACTATTGCATTCAGTTGAATCCTAATAAATTTCTGCTCCTGCTCTTTTCTAAATATACCTGAACCCGGCCTCCAATAATTAGGATGACTTTTTATAAAGTATTTGTTTAGTCTTAATGAAGAAAAAGAAGTGTTGATGTCATTTTCAAAAGGTAAGTAAAATTTAGTAAATGCATTATAAACTCACTTTTGCTTTAGCACTCTGTGATCAATTAGTCCCTCTTTTTCAATTGAGGACAGATATTTTTTTGGCTCCACAGGACCAGAAGAATTTAACATTTGTCTGTCAGCCACCCTGAAACAAAAACAAAACAAAAAAAGGATTTTCACTGTCAAGTTTTGTGTAGCATATAGAAAAGAGGTATTTTAGGGTTCTAAAATGCCAGCGGCAGAAATAGAAGAGGAGAAAAATTAACATATTGAATAGTCATGATTCTACATCATGCTGATGTCTTAATCAATCTCTCAGTCCAATTATCGAAGTCTGACAAGCTAAAAGGAAAATTGTAAATAATACTGCCTAGTGATATTCTAATTATTACAGAGTTACAAAACCCAAGAAAATAAACTTTCTTGGCATTGCAGGGTAACTGCCATCTTCAGCGCCTGGCATGTCCTCGTTTCTGGGAGCAATTAACCATTACGATATGATTTAGAGTATTGTAAGGTGGTTTCTATTCAATTAGAGTCTTGAACATGCTTTTTTTTCCTGAGGGCTAAGCCCATCTTGAACTTTTGGGTAAGCTTTTCATTTCTCCAACCACTCTAGAAGATCCCTGAATGTCACCTGGTCTCACATCCCTCTGTTCCTGGCTATTTGTTCCAACTCTAGCCTGTTACTAGCACCAAAAAATCCAGATACCCACTTCGCTATCTATGCGTCAGTCTAAACCACTGCTTTCCATTTAACCTGTGCATCTACCTCTCCCTCTCCTCATTTTCCTGTTACTTCTTCTTCACCCTTTGCTTGTAGAAGCCAAGATCAACGGTTTTACCCTGCACTGGGGGAAAGGCAGAGCTAAGATATGCGCTACTATTATGCTGCCAAGAATTCATGGCAGTCATCAACCGTTTTTTTTTGACTTACAGACAACAGGAGAGGCTGGTAACAAAGCTGGTACCTTTGCTAGCCAGATGCTAGAGGCTCCATTCTTCCCTGGGTTTGTAATTTTTTGCCATAATCAGTTAGGCTTTGCTCATTCAAAGCTAAAGCTACTGGGGAACAGGGAACACGATTACAGGCATTGTTCAGTGGTAGCACATTGTGTACATCCAGATGTCAATCAACATTGAACACAGATTCACTTCACTCTACCAACAGACTCTCCAACTTCTAACCAAATCAATTAGGAAACAGCACAAAAGAGTTCTAATGAGGCCACCCACTAAGGTGACATTATCAGAAGTTTCACTATTGCAAATGCTGGTGCTGAAGCCTTCCCAAGACTTGCTAGAACCAGGCTTAGGGAAATGTAAACACACAATGACATATGAAGCCTCCCCAAAGTTATGACACCTTGAAGTCTTCTTTTGGGGTGGTATGGCTTCCTTTCTATACCCCATTTCTTCAGAGTCTCTGAACTCTGAAGATGCTTTATAAACTGTTCCAGACTCAGCTACACATGAAAGGCTATTATTGGAAATGTCATTAATGTTTACCGAGTTTATAAGGTGAATTTCCCCTTTTCGTGAATCGATACATCTCTTTTTCAGCTACCCAGTTAAAACCAGAAAAATCCAGTGTGTTCTCTATGTGGCTCCTAGAAACAATCAATCTTGGAATTGGAAGACATCTTCATATTTACCTGGTAACATCTGCGTGAGCTCCTCATATGCACATAAACACAGGTTCTACTGCATGACCCAGAACACTTCCACCTTACCAGTGGCAGACACAAGATGCTGTTTCCATGTCCTAATCCAAAATGCTGGAGGTGCAAGTCACGTTCGGTGTTCCTTCACAAGTCCATTACTTCTGCACAGAACCTGTTCACCTAGCATACTCAAAACTCCATGTCCAGATGACTTTATTTTCTGTTCCGAGCAGAGAAGTCAGCTGAGCACCGCTCACACGCAGTGAGAAGACATGGTAAGGACACCAGGCTAGAGAGGTGGCCATCCAGGAGCGCACCAACAAGCACTGGGGATAGCATTCATGTGAGAAATACAGTAGGGAAATACTGCTGGCAACCCTTGGAAGCTCCACAGCAGTTTCAGCTGGCCCGGGAGACTACTATGGTGCTGCTTTCTCCCTTGCCCCTTTGGCAGGGCAAGCCCTTCTCCACCCCGGCACTGGTACCGGCAGGGTGAGCTGGTCCTGGGAACTGGCCTGGCTGAGAAATAATTCTGCAAAGCAGGTTGGTGGCTGGTTTTCACCCAGGCTCAAGCACCCCAGGAGAAGGGCTTGGAACACACAGACTCAGTTTTCATAGTCATCCCTTGCCACTGTGGGACCACACACACTCAGCTGTGGACACTACTAGCTGTGAACCTTAGCACACTGACGTTCCTCATGCAACCAAGACTGCAGTTCAGCCTGACATCACTGAGCAACACAGGAGACATGAGGTCACTTCACATATATCGTGGATGTACGAAATTTTGGTTTTGTCACACATTCTGTTCCTCTGTGTGAAAGCAGCTTACAGAAAAAAAAGAATTACGTTACTTCAAAACAGTGTCTTGTACACTTTATTCTAGTCATGAGTCCTTGAATTAGGTCAAAAGAAATTATTCTTACAGGATTTTGTTCAAGATTTACTGAACAGACAAAAACATTTCAAACTACATCACCAAGACAAGCACTCCAGAGTTAAGAAATGAGAGTTATAGCTACCTGCATATGAGGTTACAGCTTTTAGTTTTACAATAAAATACTATTTTTACTGTAGGATCTCTCTCATTATTCTATACCCCAAACTACATAGAATAGCTTTATTTTTTACTCATCCTAAAATACATGACTGAATGCATTTCTTAAAGAAGCTTGAGTTTTATTCTGTGGTTCTTGCCTCTGACACAGATGTTTCAGAAAGAGCAGCTTATTTACCTAACTTCCCTGTAAATAGGGGAATACCAGCATCTTATTTTCCAGGCAAGATGACTAGGTAAGGAGAGATTTTACAGTAAAATATATCCACTAATATTTGAGATTGCCACCATTTGATTTTTTTTTTTTTTTTTGAGTCTGCAGAACTTTACAGAAAAGCTGGTCCTCACACTACCGCAACTGCACATTCTTTGTGAGACAGTAAGGCCTAACTTTCAGAACTTGAAAAGAACACAGGGAACAGTCACACCCAAGATGCAGTCTAGCCAAACGTCCCTGACAAAGTCAAGGATGAAATCTAAATATCCAAAGCAGCATTCAAACTGCCCTAAGGATAAGGACATGTTTTCTTCTGAACCCCCCTGCTGAAATCATTATGTATCTATCTAATCTACCACACTTTGGATGAAGTACAGGGCCCACACAGTGTTCTTCTTCACAGCAGATACCTGCTCTACCTTCAAAGAGGGAGCTTTCTATACGTCAAGTGATGCAGGACTCTGGTGCAGAGAACTGAGACTGGCTGTGATTCCATACTTCAGGTCTATGATAAATCATACATGCAGTGACATTGTCTTCTTCCTGCACCCCTCCTTCACTCCAGTGATGCAGGGGTTCCATAAATACTTCTACAAGGGCAAGAAGATGTATCTACATGAGCAGTTTAGTTCTGCTCATGACTGCAATTTGGTTGGAAATAACCCAATCATCACCATTTACCATGCTTTGGTTTGCACTGTGGAGTCATCTCATAGTGCACAACCTGGACTCCTTTTGGATGAAGGCAAAAGCTACAAAAAATGCTCTACAGATCTACTTCTACTGGGCTACTCCTGTCTACTAATGCAGGCTTAGTGCTACAGTCCTTTCCTTCAAAAAACAGCATTTTACATCCACAGAAAGCTATTCTTGACTGTCAGGATTCTTGGGCTTAGGAGACCACTCTGAGAGCTCAGGATGTGTCTCCTCAGCCAAGACATCCAGAAAAAATAATCCTGCAAGACTTACAATAGATCAGAATGAAGGGGAGGGGTGGGGAGGAACCAAACCAACTGACCCACCAAGCCCACACCAAAACACTCAACCAAAACTACCATGAACAATCTCTGCTCACCCATCAAAAGAAACCCCAAACAAACAAAAGTAGTAACCCTGCTCATCCAAGACCCAGAACATACTCAGTGAAGACAATCTCTGTACAATTTGTTTTCTAATAAAAAAATAAACATCTATCTAGTTCCACACAGTGGGATTATCAAATGCTGATACCTAGATCAAATTCAGAGCTTCCTTGGAGAGACTGAATTCAAATACAGCTGTGACAAACACTATCTCTGGCTAAATCATTATTTTACTCCAAGGCCTGCAAACATTTAACAGTAGGTAAGTGCTTCAAAAGCTTAATATCACAAATACAGAAAATGTTAGCTGTAGTGAAAGTTTGACGATGCTTCTGCAAATGAAAACTAGGTCCTAGAACTGGAAATGAAGAGCAGTTTAAATTAATTAATGGTGTTCAGGAATGTTGATGCCCTGTTTAAAACCACAAGGTAATAACCTTATTTTGAATTTCACATATTGTTGGAGATATTGCCAGTGTAAAAAAAGTTAGAACTTACAGCTGAAGAGCTAGTAAATGCCAGTTTTAAACAGCTATGAAAAGAACTATACCCAGACTGATATTCTCCATGCCATCTACAGACTCACCCACTGATTACTTCTGGAAACTTTGGAGAAGCTGTTTCACAACAGCTTGTTGTAAGGAATTCTACCCCACTCTTTTGTTGCTGGTATTTATTAATCAGGTCCATCAGCACCGCCTGGTGCCCGATCTTCTTCACCAGCTGCTGCACCATACGATCATTAAGAGCCAGAAGAGCTGCTCCACTTACTTCTTCTTCTGCAGATTGAAGGGGATTAACTGTAAATTTAAATTACTGTAAAATATCTTTATCATGACAGTAACATTCTGTATGCCTAAAAACATGATGATGGAGGACAGGTCAAAGGCAAGGGTGCTTTCTACTGCTGATGGTCTTCTTCAGCTGCTACATAGATGATGTTTTAGCTACTGTCCTTTCCCGAGCAGTGCCATGAGTCCCAGTCACTGGCCAGACACCTTCCCCTGACAAAGAGCCAAGTCTGAAACATACAGAAGCTGTGACCTGACTACTTTAATGCATTAAATCAGGCCTTGCTTAGACAGCAAGACTGTTACTTCATTAATGAAGGAAAGTGAACTTTGTAAGAGAGCACACAACAAACAGCCTGTTCACATAAACAGTTTCTCATGCACCCTTTTGCAGAGTGTTTATACACTCAGACATAAAACATTTACGCACTACAGTTGCATTATTTCAAAAGATTTATACAATATAAAATAGGCCCTGTTAAGCCTTTTAAACTGCCAGCTCTGATTCAAGGTGTATCTATTTATACTGAGACTTAATCTCATCCCCCAGCATTTCTCAGAGACTTCATAATAAATCTGCACACTTATTTTGATTTATTGGATCTACAGCAGTTCTCATCCTAATAAATTTCTATAAAAGTCTGAAGTTAGCATATATACACATGCTCCAAAACAAGGCAGGCAGTGCCAATTAAAGGCACAGAAAGAAATATTAAACAAACCCCACACAGACAACAAAAATGCTTACCACGAAACTTAGGAACTAGTTCTCCTAAATTTCTCTGTCTCAACCAGTTGCAGACTTGATCAACCGACCAGTTTTCCATCTTCAGGTGTTGCAATGCTAAATTGCACTGTGAAATGAAAAGAGGATTATTTTTATGCTGAACTCTATACTGAACTCCAAGATTTCATAAGGAAAAAAATGCACTTAGCAAATAATGTTACATTTACATGGTCTGAATAAAACCAGTGCAAAATAATCCAACTAATGCCTGTTGCAAGTAACAGTTTCCTTAGATCCCTCTCTTCTCTTCACTTCACCTCCTCTCCCTTCCCTGCTTTCCCTCTGCTCTAAGAGACAGCCTCATTCCTTATAAAACACGACCTGCGCCAGTACCATTAACACCCAGGTTTCCACACAGAGAAGAAAAAAAGTGTGAAATTCATCACCACCACCACGCTCATCAGGAAATGGCTGACATTTTACAGAAAGAAAAAAAACAACCACCAAACTTCCATCAGAGAAGAGTCTGTCACATATATGTTTATAGTAAATCAAGCACTTTAACCCTCTCTGCACCACTGAGCAGGTACTCAGGCAAATACTTAACCCTCAGTCACGATCAATTAGGGGCGATAAAGCTCCTGGAAAATGGAGGGGAGGGGACTGTTCCTCCTGTTCTTTGCTAGTCCCATCCTTCAGGCTCCAGCTCCCTGGGGAGATGCAGCGGGCGCCCGGGGAAGGAGGAGCGCCGGGAGCCGATCCCGGGAACCGGCGGGGCCGACACCGACCCCTGGGTGGATCGATCCAGCACGTACCGTGTGCCCCTTCCCCCAAAATCAACAGCATCCTCCTCACGAGAAGGCTACTTATCAAGACAAAGCTTGTCCAACTCTGCCAACTCCTTGGCAGCAGAGAAGTCCCTGCGAGGGTGACTTTCTTAGTGATGTGTTTTAGCTCTGCTACACCAAGGAGCACCGAGTGCTCCGTGACTGTGCTTGCAAACCACAGCAAACAACATTAGAGGAAATTATTGAAGCAATTTTTTCAGACGAGAACACGAGTATCTGGCATCGTTGGCCAAACATACACTGCACTGCAAATAAAAAAAAAACCAAAACAAAAAAAAACCCAAAAAACGCACCATCCTTGAATAAAAACATTTCCGTTTTCATCCTTCAACAGCAGAGACCCCCAAAATAGATGCACTTCAAAATAGATGCTCTTGTGCTAGGAGGCTTCAGCAACTTAAAAGGGTTAAGTTTAAGAGGAACGTCCTTCTGAATTGCACGAGTGGATTTAATTTGATATGACAACAGTAGCCATACAACTCCTCCCCCAGGCTAAGCAGCAATAACAGGGTGTGAAAAGTCATTATTTGTTGAGAACTCTGGTGTAAATTAAAAATCACACCTTCCTGTCACACTTCTTACTCCCTTGCAAAGAGTAGGGCGGAAAAAAAAGCCTTCAAAAACTCGAAAGATAAAACCGAATGCAAAGCAGAAAGATACTTGCCTTAGCAAGCAAGCAGTGTAAAAGTAGAGAGATACATTAAAATGGTGGAAAGGTCACTGCTTCATCCTATAAGAAGACTAGCATCCTGGAACAGTCCTGCGAATGCAGACAGGCAGATTCCAACATTTCGAAAAGTGTCAAGCGAACTACAGCCATGCACCACAATATGCACATTTAGCCCTGTGTGGCTAACTCTACAGCAAAATGTCCATTTGCACATGGAAACACAGGCTGTACACTTTAGGCGGGGAATGGAAGTGATGACAGTTTAGAGCCTATTTAAAAAAAAAAAAGAAAAATCAGATTATATGTATTAAGGGTCATTACACACAAATACTTTGAAATGCTTCTCAAAAGTGATTTCTCTTTCTTGCATATACTATAGATAAAGGAGCAAGGAAAAGAGCACACCAGTCTTCTAGCAGCATTATGGAGGCAACGAGAAAGACTGAGCACGGATGCTGATGTTTGTCTTCATTAATGAGTCTATTTATTACAGTAGTGTCAAAAGACTACCCAATGAAGGGTTCTCTGTGCTCAGTGTGGTAAAAAAAATTGAATAATTCTATTCTTCAATCAACTCTTAAAAGTCAGAACAACAAAAAAAAAGGCAAAATTTTAAAGACAGATGGTATTTAGCAATTTACAGCATAACTTTAAGTCAAATTCAGAACAGTTCTAAGTGTGAGTGCTCCCTGTCTGTTAATAAATACAGCCAATCATTGGGACCCATTTCTTCAAACACCTAGGGTGAATGTCTATCATTAGGACTTAACCATCCCCAGTTAATGAAATTAAGTAATGAAATTAATTAAAATTATTTTTTGCTAGGATGAGTCAGGACAACACTTGCTTTTACTGCAAAATCCTTCAAGACAGAAGGATGAAAATCTTGAGTTTTAATCAGATCAAGCTAAAGACCTACCTATGGTACAGATTTCTGCTGATGTATTTGGTTACACAATAGCAAGAGAGGAGGCTCCTGACTAGCAGATCCATACTGCGCGTGCATTAATTTACTGTGCAGCTTGTTGTATGAGAAGTTATAATGAGCTACCATCAACTTGAAGTGACACTTCTAAAAAAATAAACCTATATGCCAAAACGTTTTAGACAGGAAAAGTGAGTTATTATATCTATTTTACATGTTGACTTGTGAGAGAGTCTATGGCATCACAGACTAGAAATACAACAGCCTTTAACAGGCCTCTGTGGATGTCACTGAAGTCAGAATTCAGGTTGGGTTTAGCACATTTTAGAGCAAGACTGAGGAATGTGATGCGTGCGCATCTATACATCACAGCTATGTGGCGCATTTTGTACAGGGCCAGGTCGCAAAGTTGCAAGCATGATGGGTAGGAATTGGTGCGTACCAAAGACATAAGCAAGGTATGCTGTGTGCATTTTTTTGATGCTCTCCTAATTTGGTTTTATCTTTGTATGCATTACAGAGACTTTATTATTTTCTTTCCACTTACTACCAACCTATTTTTAAAATAATTAAAAATACATTCAAGCAACTTCAGGTAAGGCAGAATATGTCGTCTTGCATCCAGTGCTGAGTTATCATGAACACAGCATCAGTTGTTCACAAACCTTTTCAATAACATATAGGGAAATACTCCAAGGGAGCACTGCTGTCACCTTGCCCACCCCCCGAAGAAGATGCCAACAGCTTCTTGCTGACATTGATCAGGCACACGCTGGCAGGAAGCGTTGCGCTGAACACTCACCGAGATGGCCGAAAGAAGCAATGTGAGGGGAGGGAAAGGAAATTCGAATACCAATGTAGGAGCAAATCTTAGAATGGCCACTTCACTTCTCATTTCGATGCTATTGTAGAGCAAGACACATGCAGCTGCAAGATCAGGAGGCACACAAATGCACAGCAGAGGCAAGGGAAAACCTGTATCACCCAAGAGTAAGGCTATATAAGAAGATCTAGGAAGAAAACATGTACAACCATTACTCAGCTGTAGAACAAGCCAGACAGCCCTTCTAAACCTTGATCAGAGTTAAGGGATATATCAAGGGTTCTGAACATGCCCATCTATTGAGCTTATCAAGCAGACAAGCATGCCTCTGCTGCAGGAATTGACTCCAAAGAATACTATAAAAAATCAACTCTTTCCTTAATATATGTGCTTCTGATTAAATATGCCATTTCTAGTATCCAAGTTTTTTAGTATATGTACTTTCACCTGTACTATCTACAGTGCTACTGAATCAGCAGGATTCAACCCAAGTACCAGGTTCTCCTCTCTGTTACAGCTGTACAAGTTGTTTAGTAATTTGAAAGGACGAAAAGAAAGAGAATTTGGCTGTGCTTTAAGGTGATGTAACAGTCATGCAGATGAGACTCTGTCCTTGCTATCACTGGCAACAGTGCACAAGCCATGAAATAATACATTAATATGTAGAAGAAAATGCCTTTATTTTTTTAGAAACACAACTTCTGGAAATGAAGCCCCTGTAAAATCAAACCCTTTTATATTCAACTTTAAGAAAACTGTGAAATTAAAATTACAAAGTTACTGGATATTGAGAACAGGGAAAGAATCAAGTAAAGGTTAAAAATTCATGAATCACAAAAATGAAATCTCATCTACCACAAAGAAAGCAATCAGACTGAAGATCTTCAGTACAACACAGGGACTGCTTCAGAAAACTAAAGAAAAAAAGTAATTTCTTCTTGTAAGTGATATCACACTGACTTTTCCTTCCTTCCAGAAGTACAAATTTCTCACCAGGACCTGTTGATCATGTCACTGTTTGCTGGCTTAGCAAAGGACTCCAGCTCCTGTCACTGAGCACTGCAGAGACCTCTGACACTGAAGTCCTGCAGTGTGATTCCACAGTAGCCTGAATCACAGCAGCCATAATCCAGCCCTCTTCTTTGCAGCCATCCGTGTGATCATGCAGTCAGCAGCGCAGGCTAAGCTGAAAACACAATTTTTTTGGTAATGGTGGGTTTTGGATGGATCAGTGCCTTTAACCAACTCCCTGGCCAACTGGGTGAAGATAGGTGGTGGAACCATACCCCTAGATTAATTTTTTGTTACAATGCATTTTGTTACAATGAAGATTTCTATCTTAATGGAGCATTGATTTGTAAAGTTAGGCCAGAAACCCAAATTATGAGTAGCAACTATTCCATCTCCAAAAAAATTGGGAAATGTAGCCATCCCCTTACCCTCAAATCATTTTGCTCAAATTGTACTGGCTCTGCTTCTTGCAAGGTTACCCTTGCTCCCATTTGAAGCCCTTTCAAGCTTTCCTGGTGAATAAGACCAGTAAGACATGGAATACTCATAATAACAAGGCTAATCCATTAATTACTGAGAAGGATGGGTACAAGGTTCTATTATGTGCTTGCTCCACACTGGATTCAGAATCATAAACCAGCTCAGAGAGCTGAACCAACAGCCAGTCATAGTGACCTTACAAAAAACGGTTAAGGTTAACTAAAAATAACAGCTTACCAAGCCCATTTGGATGAAAAAGGCTTGATGGCAATTTATAAGTGGTTCAGTTGGCAGATCCCAAAAGGTGCTAATGTTTGACAAAACTGCTCTCTCTTGTTCCTAA